TGTTGTAATTGATTATTTTGGTTAACCATCTGTTGAATACTATTTCTTTATTCATTGCTTATATGTGGTTTAGTATATTTCTACTGGGCTGTGGCTCACCCTTTATGGGAACATCATTTTCAGGTTCAGGGGATAAGCTACCTCCAAGGACTTAGCTTGGAAGGACTTGGATTCCGAAGACTATTTTTTTGTTGTTTTCTTTTATTTGTTAGTACATGTAAAAACTCAAGCCTAGGGCTTTTCTTGTATTGAGTTAGAACTCGAATGTTTGTAACCAAGTGTTGGCTTGGAAAGATGTAAGCCTGTAGGGCATTTTATTTGATTATTTAGTAATACTCTGATGAATGAATTAATAAAATGTCTTCTTTAAATAATGCATGTCAATGATATATAATAGGTTAATTTTGAGGGCGTGACATAGAATTTGAACATATAATAAATTTGGATAGATATAATTTTATTTGGACAAATATTTAAACAGATAAGGAAAATTTGAATTGAAAAGATTAACAAATTAAACAGATAGGATAAAAAATTAAACAGATCAGAAAATTTTTGAACAGATAAGAAAAAAATTGAACAGATTGGGAAAGATTTTGATCAGATGAGAAAAAAAAATTGAACAGATAATCAACGAAAGTCAATCAATAAAAAAGTCAACAAATAAATTAAAGAGTAATATTAAAAACAAAATGTCATTTAAAACAAACAGAAGGACTTTTCACCAAACTATTTAACAAAAGGTGGATTTCTCTCCAACAAAAAAAATATCTACTAGATCTAATGCCTTATATATTTCTTAACTTACATTTATCACAAATTTATTCTTTAATTCCCCCACAAGTTTGGTGTAAGGCATGTAGCATTGCTTAAAACCAATTAGGTTGCAAAAAATATTACGAGTGGAACATGTTGACCAACTTTTTTTTAGGTAATTGAAAGATAAAGAATGATTTGTTTTGCGTGTATTGTGAGTTTTTATTTGTTGAAATACCACAAACAATATATTTAAGAAATTTTCCTAACATTGATCCTAACAAACAACAATAAAGAGCATATATAAACAACATAGGGAATCTTCTAAGGAATTATCTACCAGTCCCAGTAGATGTAGAACACATGGATATTGTGCACTTGTTCGTGTGGTTGCCGATTCAATTTTGAAGCTTGAAAGATTGCCTTTGGCTGTGAATATGTGAAGAGTTTATATTGGACTTACCTCCTATATCAATTGATCCATTCAAACGGTTTTCAGATAAGGATAAAGTCTTGAGTGATGAGAGCACACCAAGAGATGGTAGGATGCTATTATTGACTGAATTCCAATCCAATCTAAGTAGCTCCAGCTTGCCTAACACCGATAGTCGTTCAAAACCTGCAAAAATCAATTTCCTTTTCAAGTCACCACCATCTGTACAAACTAAAAGGAAACGCAAAATTGTTATGAAATTCTTCACATATATATATAGAGAGAGAATAGGTAGTTTGTTTACTAAGAAACTTGGAGAGCTTCATTTGGGTTTGGGATAATAATGATATACAAACATTATTTTTGTACATAACCTGTTGTGTAAAATAATATTATAAGTGAACAATATTGCCTGTAAATCTTTTTCAGCTAGGAAAATGAGAGTACAACCTCTAAATACTTTTTTTTTTTTAATCACGATTGTATACCTTTTATATCTTCTATTGAATTTTCACTCAAATCCAGCACCTTTAAGTTGTTCATATTGCAGAATTCTACAATGAAAAAGGAAAAAGAAAAATAATTGAGTGTAAATCTGTTCATATTTTCTTTATGAGTCATATGAATAACACTCCATTGAATTGTCAATAAAGGAAAGAAAATGCCAAAATAATTAACATATCATTGTAATGGCCAATGAGTTTCATTTATTAGTAAATGTTGGTGGGAAAAAATTTCATAGAACTATACATATCACCATCGTTGGAGCATTTAGATACACATTTAATTTCTTTTTATAAACACCACATTAATGTAGGGCAATATTTTTAGAGGAAAATATTTTTGTTATTACAAAAAAAAAATATTTCTCACAATGTGGAAAAAATAAATTGTTTCCCAAAGTTTACTTTCTGCGATGAATAAATTCCATCCCCAATATTTTTCGTCAACAATTTTTTTGTGACAATTTTTCATTACAAAAGTGTTTTGTCATGTAGTGCATCACCTAATATTTATGTATATATGTAAATAAAATAAAAGTAACATGTATATACATTTTGGATGACCAGAATACTTCACAAAAATGATTTTTTTTTTTTTTTTTTTTGGCTTTTTTGTTTTTTTTTTTTTTTTTTTTTTTTTTTTTTGGAATAGTTCACGAAACATGATCATATTTTTTTTAATATTTTTTTTGTGGCTTTTTGTGTTTTTTATTTTATTTTATTATTTTCATGTTTACTTTGATTCAGATGAAGAGAGACACATAGGCTCAAAGACCAAATTTTACCACTTTTTATACTTTGAGAACTAAATTGATATAATCTAAATATTAAAAATTGAAACGATACAAATCTCATACTTTGGAGACAAGAAGAGTACCTTTTTAATTGAATTTTTATATTTACCTTTTTTATTTATTTATAACATCTACAAATATAATTAGGTTGGGGATCAAATCAAAATATTTTTTTATATATTAAAAATTAAATTGATACAAATCTCAAAAACCGATCTACATAAGTGTTTTTCTTCATATTGTTTTTGCATTTGAGTCATATTGTAATTTTCACTTTCAATCACAGTCCTTACAGAAGCCAAGTGGGTAAATTTTAGAAAAACAAAATTGAAAATGTAGGATTCAAATTATTCAAATTAAAATTATGAGAATTAAAGTAATACTTCACTCAAACTAAAAGACCAGTGGTATAATTTATCCAAAAATATTTTGCCCAATTATACGTAACTGAACACCAAAAATTTAGGAAAAAAATATTTTCCATGTAAACAAACAAAACCTTAGAAAATTAAAAGGTAACTAACGCTTGTTTATAAATTTGGCAGACTATCTTATGTATTAGATTCCATTTCAATCCGAGGGACTTACTCTTTTCGTGCTATGGTTTTTGTCAAGTCCAACTGTCATGAAATTGGATAATTGATAATTATTTAATAATTTTATAATATTATATGACATTATTCATGTGATGTTTAGAGATATTATCCACTACTCCGAACACCATGCAGAACACATGGAACTCACATTGGTGATAGAAAGATTGTCTAGTTGTAAACATATGAAGTATTTTATTATTGGACTTACCTCTTATATCAGTATCAATTGATCCATTCAAATTGTTTTCCCATAGGCATAAAGTCTTGAGTAATGAAAAAACACCAAGAGATGGTAGGATGTAATTATTGAATGAATTGTCTCTCAAATCAAGTACCTCCAGCTTGTAATCCGTTCAAAACTTAATATTAACATGTGATTTATTCTATTTATTAAAAAAAAAAAATCAAAAAATAGTTTATCCGTTTACTAAGAAACTTAGAAATCTTCATTTGGGATAATGATTACAAACATTATTTTTGTACAAACTTCTTGTGTGAAACAATATTGTAAATGAAAAATCTTACCGACAAATCCTTTTTAACTTCCAAAATGAGAGTACAACCTCTAAAAAAATTCTCCATTATGCACCTTTTTTTTATTTTCTATTGAATTGCCACCAAAATTCAGCTCTTCTAAGTTGCTCATAAAAAAATAAAAATAAGAAAAATAAGAAGAAGAATTGAGTGTACATCGGGTCCTAATTATTTTATGAGTTGTATAGGATTGTGTCAATTTAGCTTGCAACATATAAAAAAAAAAAAAAGTGTTTTGATTTGGTCTCCCAACTTAATTTTGTCTACCTTTCTGGCTAAACTAAGGGTAAAGTTTGAAAACTATATATAGACATCATCAAAATTGAAGAAAATAGAAAAAAGAAAAGCCAATATATCTGGAGAGGAATATTCAAATTATTATAATAAAATGTAAATTTTGTGACGCGGAAAAAAAAAAAATTGTCTCCCAAAGCTTATATTCTACAATAAATGAGATCCTCGCCAAATTTTCTGTTGATACTTATTTTGGCAATTTTTTTATTTTTTATTTTTCTTGTAATACATCATCCAATATATTTTCATATATAAGCTTTCGCTTTTTGTTGACGTGTGTTTATGATTTTTATGTTTTGCCCTTAATTCAAATAAAGAAAGACAAAATAGGTTAGAGGAACAAATTTTTTAATCAGTGTGGGAGCCAAATATAAAAAATCAACTTCAAACTGATCCTTTCAATTGGGTCGTATAAGTTCAAAGCCCAGTGAGCTAGGGATCGTTGCCGAGTAGGCATTGAGGCCCACATGGGAAGCCGAGTTAAATATTCAGGCCATGTGCCGAAACCAACTAATCCGGAATAATCGGAAGGGTCCTATTGGACCAAACTGTGGCTCATCCCATAAAAGCATGATGAGATGGTGGGACCAAGAGGAAAAACAAAAAAAAAAAAAAGACCATAAAAGAGAAAGGCAGGCTCTAAGAAATATAAAATACCAATTATTCACACGTAAAAATTGACTAAATCGTGTTAATTTCGACACCATTGATCAGAATTATTTATCTGTTTTAGATAACATTGTGAGGATCTTTTAGATTTCTCAGAATTCGAAAAGTATTTCTAAACTCATATCTCCACAACCAGCAAAATAAACATTTCGTTAAAAAATATGAAATTAAAGATCGAAAATGACTGGTAACTCGAAAAGATTGGCTCGATTTTTGGCTCGACAGCCCAAAACGACGTCGTTTTGGGCTGTCTTTTTCTTTTTCTTTTTTTTTCTTTCTTTTTCTTCTTTATTCCTTTCCTTTTCATTCTTTCCCCTCCATTCTTTCGAACACAGAGACGGAAAGGGAAGAGAAGAGCTTGTTTGGAAATTTGTTTGATCAACACAAATGTTTGATTCGATTAGATCAAACACAAAAAATCAACACAAATTTGTTGCTAACCCAGATCATCTCTATTTTTTTTTCTTTTTTTTTTTTTCTTCCCTCGTGGATCTAGGGTCTCTAAGAAGAAAGCATGGCAGAGTTGAAAAAAGATGAAGTAGAAAAAAAAAAGAAAAAATAAGATGGGTGTTTCAGGAGGAGGGATCGGAGAGAGAGAACGGGAGTTGAAAAAAAGCCTCTTTTTTTTCTTCTCTCTGAGAAGATGAAGGAGTTGAAAAAAAGAAAGAAAAATGATCCATTCCCTCACTCTCTTCTCCTTCTCTTTTTTGAAAAAGAAGATGGGTCTGCAGAAATTGATGAAGATGATGTTGAAGATGATGAAGATGATGTTGAAGATGATGAAGAAGATCTGGATCTGCAGAGGAAAAAGTCTGAAAATCGGAGTCTTCACTTTGTTTTTGTTTTTTTTAATTGAAATGGGAGTTGAGCACACGCACACACCAGATAGAAACTCAAAATCGGGTCACTCGAGCCGCAACGTATTCGAGCTACGTAGCGGAGCCGATTAAAGATATAAAAAGACGCAATGCATCAGAAGATGCAATGTATCGAAGGAAAGAGATTAGAAATTATAAATTACTGCTCCTCGAATCCATATAATCAAGAATCAATCTCTTGGCCGAGAACCACCCACCTTCCATGGCCGAAAAACCCAAGGCCGAAAAACTCCCTAGGCTGAAAACCGTGGCCGAAACTACACCCATGGCCGAAAACCACCCCTCTCCCACCTATTAAACAACCAAGAGGCACCACCCATACCCAAAAAACCACCTCTCCCACCTGTCAAACACCTCCCTGAATCGAACCAGCCGGCACCGAAACACCACTTCCATGGCCTAAAACCTCCCAAGATTTAACACCTCCCATGGCCTCCATCCATGGCCGAAAATCACCACCCATGGCCAACCCCAAACACCCATGCCTCATACATCCTCCTAATCTTCAACCACCCATAGCCGAGAGCCCCCATAGAACTGAGATCACTGACCTCCTCTTTGCCGAACAACACCCGATCTGAGACCACTGACCTCTTTGCCGAACAAACTCCTACATTCGAACACACCCATGGCCAAAAAACTTCCAATACCGAACAACCAAGCACACATCGCAGAGAAGCGCCCAAAACTAGATCACCATACACCCACCGATAGAAGACCCGAAAGAAGATCCATGGCCAAACACCATAGATCGAAACACACCTAGGCAAAATCTATAGATGTCGGAAAAACTAATATCGTGGGAAAACTTTGGGGATTCAAGTTAAAAATGAGGGAAAACAACAATCACACACAAAGGAAGCGAGGCCAGCCGACTGCCATGGCCATAGGCAGCAGCCATCCGGCCAACGGTGAGACCTGAGATGGAGGTTTTTAGAGAGAGAGAGAGATAGAGGAAGCATGGATAGTTTTGTAATTTTGGTTCGAGGATCAAATTAAAACACTTTGTACACTTTAAATACTAAATTGCCATGATTTATATATTAAGAACTAAAATAACATAAATATTTTATTTTAGGAATGATTTATATATTAAGAACTAAAATAACATAAATATTTTATTTTTGGAATTAAAATAGTGAAATTTTAATTGAATTTCTATATTTATCCTTCAATTTAATGGTATCTATAAATTAAATTTGATTGGAGGACGAAATCAAAATAATTTTAATACATTGTAAACTAAATGGATACAATTTTAACAGAGAATCAAAATCACACAAACTCCATACATTAGAAACTAAAATAGTAACCATCTCAACCTTGGGCACTTACTTTTTTGGTGCTATGGTTTTTCTTTGTCGAGTCCAACTATCATAAAATTGAATAATTAATAATTATTTAATAATTTTAAAATATTATATGACATTAAATCATGTGGTATTTTAAGGCAATACATAGGCTTTGTTTGATTAGAATAAATAATAGTGAGAGGATTAACAATTCATGAAATCAGTGAAAGATTGGTTATCCAATTAGATTAGTTGGATAAATAATCCCCTCTTTTTCACGTTTGTTTTGCAATAAATATTGAAATATATAATACCAATTATATGTTTATTTTGTATTATTAGTTATAAGATTAAAAATTTCACCAATTTTGTTGAATAAAATGTCCATTGAAATCTAGTTTGAATAATAAAAATTACAATCAAACATTGTGAATTCCATGGATTGATAATCCTAATCCTATGTTATAATTTGTCCAATAAAAATAGCCCATAAAACTTACATTGATGCTGCCAAGATTGTCCATATTGATGCTGGAAGGTTGTTTTAGTTGTGAATAGGTGAAACATTTTAAATAAATATGCTCTGCATCCATTTCTTCATGAATATACTCGGCATCCATTTTTGTTTTAGAAAGCTCTATAGTCATTTTCTTTGATGTATGAGGGTTTGGTTTTTCTATAAAATAATAGATGGTAAGGAAAATAGATGGAGGGAAAATTGATGGTTAATTTTGGAGGGAAATATTTAGAGAAGAAAATAAAAGTTTGTGGTTGGAGTTTGAATGAATAGTGATATACTCTATATTTACTTTTCGAATAAAAAAATTTATTTTCATCCTCTTGGTGAGAGGATTAGGCTAGAGATGCTCTTAGGGCCAAGTAGGCTTAGATTTGTTCAAAAGCCTCAGATCGAAAAATAGAGGTAATTTCTTATGGCTTCCTCGTCTCGCGCTCTCACGTTTAACGCCACATCCAGTATAATCTCACTAGTGTTCCCTTCGAATCTCACCTCGCCTCACTCAACACTACGCCGGATCTTCAATCCTCACTCCCGAGGCCGATCCCTCCTGTACTGTTATCGTGATTCCTGTTCGTGAAGTGAACATCAATCTCATTTGAGGTACATATACTTTTTTCTCTTCAATTTGAAGATTTACGCGTTAAAGGTTCGGAATTGTGTTTGATACATATTTGAAGTACTCATTCAGTTGCCAATTGATAGCTAATGAAATCATTTTTTAAGTTTAAAGTTTGAATAAGCTTTTGATTACACTTAATATTAGGCGAAAATATGATTACAAGCTGAATAGAATAAAAATTTGGAAGCTTGGTATGGTGTAAAGGTTTTTGTTGATGAAAATTGTTGGAATTTGTCTGTCAGTGTATTTTTTTGGCACAATTACAACTAGAAGCGTAAGTCAGTTGATTTATTGGAATTTTTGCTTGAAATGGAATGAAGTAAGAAATACTATGGTAGTACTTTTCAGAAGAAGTTAGGGAAATTTTTAGATTTTTTGCCATCTATGTATCTCTCTCTCTCTCTCTCTCCTTTGGTGTTTACAAATTGTGTTTGTTTGGACAAAGTTATGGCTGGAGGAGGGACAGTGGCTGTGAAGAGGCATCACAGACAAATTTGTTCATCTCTTGCTCATCCTCCTCTTCCATGGGTCTATGATACAGATCTGTTAAATTCAAGAGAATTTTTTTTTTTTTTTGGGTTAAACAGATTGAATTTTTTTTTGGATGCTTGTTATTGTTGATGTTGATGTTGATGATTGTTGTTGTTGATGAACAAATAAAGATAAAAAAAATTAAACAGATAGAATTGGAACATATAATAAATTTGGATAGATATAATTTTATTTGGACAAATATTTAAACAGATAAGGAAAATTTGAATTGAAAAGATTAACAAATTAAACAGATACGGTAAAAAATTGAATAGATCAAAATTTTTTTGAACAGATAAGAAAAAAATTGAACAGATTGGAAAAAAATTTTATCAAATGAGAAAAAAATTTGAACAGATAATCAACGAAAGTCAATCGATAAAAAAAGTCAACAAATAAATTAAAGGGTAAAATTATAAACAAAATGTCATTTAAAACAAACGAAATGACTTTTCACCAAACTATTTAACAAAAGGTGGATCTCTCTCCAACAAAAAAAAAATATCTACTAGATCTAATGCCTTATATATTTCTTAACTTAAATTTATCACTAATGTATTCTTTAATTCCCCCACAAATTTCTATAAGGCATGTAGCATTGCTTAAAACCAATTACGTTGCAAAAAAATTTACAAGTGGAACATGTTGACTAACTTTTTTTTAGGTAATTGAAAGATAAAGAATGATTTGTTTTGCGTGTATTGTGAGTTTTTATTTGTTGAAAATACCACAAATAATATATTTAAGAAATTTTCCTAACATTGATCCTAACAAACAACAATAAAGAACATATGTAAACAACATAGGGAATCTTCTAAGGAATTGTCTACCAGTCCCAGTAGATGTAGAACACATGGATATTGTGCACTTGTTCGTGTGGTTACCGATTCAATTTTGAAGCTTGAAAGATTGCCTTTGGTTGTGAATATGTGAAGAGTTCTATATTGGACTTACCTCCTATATCAATTGATCCATTCAAAAGGTTTCCATGTAGGGATAGAGTTTACCTCCTATATCAATTGATCCATTCAAAAGGTTTCCATGTAGGGATAGAGTTTTGAGTGATGAGAGCACACCAAGAGATGGTAGGATGCTATTATTGAATGAATTCCAATCCAATCTAAGTAGCTCCAGCTGGCCTAACACAGATAGTCGTTCAAAACCTGCAAAAATCAATTTCCTTTTCAAGTCACCACCATCTGTACAAACTAAAAGGAAACGCAAAATTGGTATGAAATTCTTCACATATATATATAGAGAGAGAATAGGTAGTTTGTTTACTAAGAAACTTGGAGAGCTTCATTTGGGTTTGGGATAATAATGATATACAAACATTATTTTTGTACATAACATGTTGTGTAAAATAATATTATAAGTGAACAATATTGCCTGTAAATCTTTTTCAGCTAGGAAAATGAGAGTACAACCCCTAAATACTTTTTTTTTTTAAAATCACGATTGTATACCTTTTATATCTTCTATAAAATTGTCACTCAAATCCAGCTCCTTTAAGTTCATATTGCAGAATTCTACAATGAAGAAGGAAAAAGAAAGAGAATTGAGTGTAAATCTGATCATATTTTATTTATGAGTCATATGAATAACAGTCCATTGCATTGTCAGTAAAAGAAAGAAAATGCCAAAATAATTATCACTGTAATGGCCAATGGGTTTCATTTATTAGGAAAAAATTTCATAAAACTAGACTTCGTTTGGGATGTGTGTTGGTTTTTTAATTTTTTGACTTTTTAACTATTTTAACCTGAGGTTAAAAAGTCTCGTTTGGGATTTTTTTTTCACTTTTCTGAGAGAAAAAATGAAATGATTATGGTTTAGATGTGACATTTTATCTTATTGATTTTTTAACCTATTTTGTCTTTTTCTAACTAAAATAGCAAAACAAACTCTCAAACCTACATACCAAAGGATTGCTGAAGCTTTTCAATACACATTTATTTCTTTTTATAACCACCACATTAATGTAGGAAAATATTTTGCGTTATTACAAAAAAAAATATATAATTGTCACAATGTGGAAAAAATAAATTGTTTCCCAAAGTTTATTTTCTGCAATGAATGAAATCCCATCGCCAATTTTTTTGTCAACAATTTTTTTGTCACAATTTTTTCATTGCAAAAATGTTTTATCAACTAATATTTATGCATATACATAAATATAATAAAAGTAACATGTATATACATTTTGGATGACCAGGAATAGTTCACGAAACATGATCATATTTTTTTTAATTTTTTTTTTTTGTGGCTTTTTGTGTTTTTTATTTTATTTTATTTTTTTATTTTCATGTTTACTTTGATTCAGATGAAGAGAGACACATAGGCTCAAAGACCAAATTTTAACACTTTTTATACTTTGAGAACTAAATTGATATAATCTAAATATTAAAAATTGAAACGATACAAATCTCATACTTTGGAGACAAGAAGAGTACCTTTTTAATTGAATTTTTATATATACCTTTTTTATTTATTTATAACATCTACAAATATAATTAGGTTGGGGATCAAATCAAAATATTTTTTTTATATATTAAAAATTAAATTGATACAAATCTCAAAAACCGATCTACATAAGTGTTTTTCTTCATATTGTTTTTGCATTTGAGTCATATTGTAATTTTCACTTTCAATCACAGTCCTTACAGAAGCCAAGTGGGTAAATTTTAGAAAAACAAAATTGAAAATGTAGGATTCAAATTATTCAAATTAAAATTATGAGAATTAAAGTAATACTTCACTCAAACTAAAAGACCAGTGGTATAATTTATCCAAAAATATTTTACCCAATTATACGTAACTGAACACCAAAAATTTAGGAAAAAAATATTTTCCATGTAAACAAACAAAACCTTAGAAAATAAAAAGGTAACTAACGCTTGTTTATAAATTTGGCAGACTATCTTATGTATTAGATTCCATTTCAATCCGAGGGACTTACTCTTTTCGTGCTATGGTTTTTGTCAAGTCCAACTGTCAAGAAATTGGATAATTGATAATTATTTAATAATTTTATAATATTATGTGACATTATTCATATGATGTTTAGAGGTATTATCCACTACTCCGAGCAGCTTGCAGAACACATGGAACTCACATTGGTGACAGAAAGATTGTCTAGTTGTGAACATATGAAATATTTTATTATTGGACTTACCTCTTATATCAGTATCAATTGATCCATGCAAATTGTTTTCCCATAGGCATAAAGTCTTGAGTAATGAGAAAACACCAAGAGATGGTAGGATGTAATTATTGAATGAATTGCCACTCAAATCAAGTACCTCCAGCTTGTAATCCGTTCAAAACTTAATATTAACATGTGATCTATTCTATTTATTAAAAAAAAAAATCAAAAAATAGTTTATCCGTTTACTAGAAACTTAGAAATCTTCATTTGGAATAATGATTACAAACATTATTTTTGTACAAACTTCTTTTGTGAAACAATATTGTAAATGAAAAATCTTACCGACAAATCCTTTTTAACTTCCAAAATGAGAGTACAACCTCTAAAAAAATTCTCCATTATGCACCTTTTTTTATTTTTTATTGAATTGCCACCAAAATTCAGCTCTTCTAAGTCGCTCATAAAAAAATAAAAATAAGAAAAAAAAAAAAAAAAAAAAAAAAAAAAAGAAAAAAGAAAAAGAAGAAGAATTGATTGTACATTGGGTCCTAATTGTTTTATGAGTTGTATAGGATTGTGTCAATTTAGCTTGCAACATATAAAAAAAGAGTGTTTTGATTTGGTCTCCCAACTTAATTTTGTCTACCTTTCTGGCTAAACTAAGGGTAAAGTTTGAAAACTATGTATACACATCATCAAAAATTGAAGAAAATAAAAAAAGAAAAGCCAATATCTCTGAAGAGGAATATTCACGTTATTATAATAAAATATAATTTGTGACGCAGGAAAAAAAAATTGTCTCCCAAAGCTTATATTCTATAATAAATGAGATTCTCGCCAAATTTTCTGTTGATAATTATTTTGGCAAATTTTTTTTTTTCTTGTAATACATCATCCAATATATTTTGATATATAAGCATTCGCTTTTTGTTGATGTGTGTTTATCATTTTTATGTTTTGCCTTTAGTTCAAATAAAGAAAGACAAAATAGGTTAGAGGACCAAATTTTTTTATCAGTGTGGGAGCGAAATATAAAAAATCAACTTCAAACTGATCCTTTTAATTGGGTCGTATAAGTTCAAAGCCCAGTGAGCTAGGGATCGTTGCCGAGTAGGCATTGAGGCCTACGTGGGAAGCCGAGTTAAATATTCAGGCCATGTGCCGAAACCAACTAATCCGGAGTAATCGGAAGGGTCCTATTAATCCAAACTGCAGCCCATCCCATAAAAGCATGATGAGAAGGTCGGACCCAGGAGGGAAAACAAAAAAAAAACTATAAAAGAGAAAGGTAGACTCTAATAAATATAAAATACCAACTATCCACACGTAAAAATTTGACTAAAATTGTAAGAGTGCTAATTTTGACACATCGATCAAAGTTGTTTATCTGTTTTAAGTAACATTGTGAGGATCTTTCAGGTTCGTCAGGATCCAAAAGAATCATGATAGAGATCCCCTCCAATCACCACCCCACAACCCCACAGACATGTGACGGGTGGTGATTGGAGGAGTAGGAAAAAAAAAAAAAAATATAACCAATGAAAGAGAGAGAGATCAAAGGAGATGGGGGAAAGGGGCAGGAAAAAGGGGCATAAAACATTTTTGGAATCCGAAAAGCATTTTCAAACTCATACCCTTATAAACAGTAAAATAAATATTCTATGAAAAATATGAAATTAAAAATATAAAAAGATGCAACGCATTGGAAGATGCAATGTATCAAAAGAGCTTAGAAATTATAATTACTCGCATCCATATAACCAATCTCTTGGCCGACAACCACCCATGACCGAGAGCCACCCATGATGGCCGAAAAACCCAAGGCCGAAAAACTCCATAGGCTGAAAACCGTGGCCGAAACTACACTCATGGCCGAAAACCACCCCTCTCCCACCTATTAAACAACCAAGAGGCACCACCCATACCCAAAAAACCACCTCTCCCACCTGTCAACACCTTCCTGAACCGAACCAGCCGGCACCGAAACACCACTTCCATGGCCTAAAACCTCCCAAGATTTAACACCTCCCATGGCCGAAAATCACCACCCACGGCCAACGCCAAAGACCCATGCCTTATACATCCTCCTAATCTTCAACCACCCATAGCCGAGAGCCCCCATAGAACTGAGACCACTGACCTCCTCTTTGCCGAACAACACCCGATCTGAGACCACTGACCTCTTTGCCGAACAAACTCCTACATTCGAACACACCCATGGCCAAAAAACTTCCAATACCGAACAACCCAGCACACATCGCAGAGAAGCGCCCAAAACTAGATCACCATACACCCACCGATAGAAGACCCGAAAGAAGATCCATGGCCAAACACCATAGATCAAAACACACCTAGGCATAATCTATAGATGTCGGGAAAACTAATATCGTGGGAAAACTTTGGGGATTCAAGTTAAAAATGAAAGAAAACAACAATCACACACAAAGGAAGCGAGGCCAGCCGACTGCCACGGCCATAGGCAGCAGCCAGCCGGCCTGTTAGGATCAAACACACCCAGAGAATTATCTCACACACACAGAGAACACAATATTTACGTGGTTCGGCCCAATGCCTACATCCACGGACAGAAATGAGAATTATCACTAAAATGGAGCAAAAATACAAATACAGAGGAAGAGATAAAACTCACTCAACTCACAGCTCTCACACTCAATTTCTGATGGTTCTCAACTCTCCCCTCAACCTCTATTTATACACCAATGAGGGAGAGCCTCATTGGTCACCACCTACCCTCTTCCACTCTCTAGTGGGGTTGGTAGAGTGGGAGAGCCACTTCCATTGGGTGGAGAAAGTGGGTTCTCCAATGGGAGCTCACATGGGATGATCCAACACGGCCAACAGTGAGACCCGGGATGGAGGTTTTTAGAGAGAGAAAGACAAAGGAAGCATGGATAGTTTTGTAATCTTGGGAAGAGGATCAAATTGAAACACTTTGTACACCTTAAATACTCAATTGCCATGATTTATATATTAAGAATTAAAATAACATAAATATCTTATTTTAAGAATTAAAATAGTGAAATTTTAATTGAATTTCTATATTTACCCTTAAATTTAATGGTATCTACAAATTATTTGGTTGGAGAACGAAATCAAAATAATTTTAATACATTGAAAACTAAACAGATACAATTTTACAATTTTAACAGAAAACCAAAATTACACAAACTCTATACATTAGAAACTAAAATAGTAACCATCTTAACCTTGGGCACTTGGCCTCGTTTGGGAAGGCACTGTTTTAGCCAAAAAGTCAAAAAGTTACTAAATTAGCCAAAAAGCCAACAATCCATACCAAAAAGTCAAAGATTCTCTTTTTTCTCTACTTTTTGCACATCTTTTCGTAATTAGCCAAAAAGTCATCCCAAACATGCTAGTTTTTTTTAGCTCATATTTTAGCCAAATAGCCAAAAAGTTACTAAATTAGCTTGTTCCCAAACGAGGAAGAGGCTAAAAAAGTCAACTTTTTAACTTTTTAGCTTTTTTAGCCAAAAAAATACAGTTTTTTTTATCCAAAAGAACCTAGCTTTTTTGCAAAAAAATCAATTTTTTATTAACTTCCCATAACACCACTTACTCTTTTAGTGCTATTGTTTTTCTTTGTCGAGTCCGACTATCATAAAATTGAATAATTAATAACTATTTAATAATTTCAAAATATTATATAACATTGAATCACGTGGTATTTTAAAGCAACACATAGACTTTGTTTGATTAGAATAAATAATAGTGAGAAGATTAACAACTCATAGAATCAGTGAAAGATTGGTTATCCAATTAGATTAGTTGGATAAATAATTCCTCTTTTTCACGTTTGTTTTGCAATAAATATTGAAATATATAATACCAATTATATGTTTATTTTGTATTATTAGTTATAAGATTAAGAAATTCACCAATTTTGTTGAATAAAATGTCCATTGAAATCTAATCTGAATAATAAAAATTACAATCAAACGTTGTGAATTCCATGGATTGATAATCCTAATCCTATGTTATAATTTGTCCAATAAAAATAGCTCATAAAACTTACATTGATGCTGCGAAGATTGTCCATATTGATGCTGGAAATGTTGTTTTAGTTGGGAATAGGTGAAACATTTTATACTGGACTTACCTCCTATATCAATTGATTCATTCAAAGGGTTTGCAGCTAAGGATAAAGTCTTGAGTGATGAGAGCACACCAAGATATGGTAGGATACTATTATTGAATGAATTCCCATCCAATCTAAGTAGCTCCAACTTGCCTAATACAGATAGTCTTTCAAAACCTGCAAAAAACAATTTCCATTTCAAGTCACCATCATCCTCACGACTAAAACAACACGTAAAATGGACATGTATTCCATTTTATTAAAAAATATAAAAACAAAAATGGGTAGTTTGATCTACAAACATAATTTTTCTATCGAAATTTCATATAAAACAGTGTGGCATGTTGTGATCTTTTTATTACATGCCAAAACATCTATCATTGCGGCTCTTAATTACGAAAATATTATGTAAAAATTTTAGTAAATTTTTTGGGAACCCTAACATTTTTGCACAAATAAGTCCATTTTTGCTGTTCAACAAATGTTGCATAATATCAAGTCGCAGATGGGATAAATCAGGTGATGGACCCATAAATCATATACAAAGGTCGAGTGTTTAAAAAACAAACTTTATCATCATAAAATAAATAAATAAAATATACAAACTTTATTTTCCAAAAAAAAAAAAACTAATTCACTAGAATCATTAATTCGGCCACCATCCAAGGAGTTTGTTTTTAATTTTGGGTTGGGCACGGAAGGGTGTTGTCCGGATCCATCACGAGTCCTATTTTGATTATTCAAACTGTTTATTTTGCATGTCACTTCATGTATATAATCATAATTTATTTAATTTATCGCATTTGTCCTAAAAAATAGAGTTAAAAAAATGTATTTTTGAAACCAGAGCATCTATATTTTTTTTGGTTCATTATTTTCTTCATATTGAAGTGGTATTGTTATCATACCTGAGTGAGTTATGAAACCATCCAACTGATTATAGCTAATATCAAGCTGCTCCACGTTATTCAAACCTTTAAGATCTGGTCTCAAGTCAAGAAAATAAAAGTATTAATTAGTTGGAAACCAAGGAAACCTGCTTATTTTTGAATTCTTGCACTAGTCTCAAACTCTCAGCTAAGAATGAAAAGAAATAGACTTTAATTTAAACTCACCATTAATATGTATAGTTCCCTCCAAATTATTATAAGACAGATTTAGAGACGTTAGAGATGTTAATTCACCCAACCTCTCAAAACCTGTAAAACAGTCAATAATGTATATCATAGCATAGGCCACAACGTGATTTCCGGAAATATTGTCAAAAAGAAAACAATAGAGTAGACTTGTTTGGTTGCTATTCTAGTAATACAAAAAAAACCTTCATTCTCAAGCCAACCCGCTAATCCATTGCATGATAAGTCGAGACTTTCAAGTTCTTCAAATGGAAGAAACATGGAGGCATTCAGATACCAATCTCTTGAGTACGAATAATGATAATTCTCTGCAGAATTGAGTGAGAGTTGGATCACTCGTCCTGTTGTAGCGTTGCACTTGACTCTTTCCCACTTACAGCAGTCAGTCGTCGTTTCACCCTCCCAAGCCTCCACCCACATTGGGAGGACATTGCTGTGTTTGATGGAATAAGCTTTTAGTTGCAGAAGAGCAACCCTCTCATGCTCCAAACACCCATAGCACTCACTAGCCAAAATCAACAACATTACCCACAACCACACCAACCTCATCTCTATAAACATGATGATACACCTATTTCTTCTTTGCATGTTCTGCACAAACTCAGAATTGCACATTTAGCACCCAAGTGGTCTGAGTCTTTATAAAGGCACTAAAAGCACCATCATACTCTGGGCCCTCCCACTTACTGATTTGACTAATATTTGTGGAAAAATTAAAACAAACTCTCTCCTCAATATGAATTAAGCGGTTGGCCGGCCTTGATTAACTGTAAATATGAAATCGCAACATATAGTAAGTAAATTATCATTTGTCTCTTAATTATTTAATAAAAGTGAATTATCATGTATTACTTGAAATTTTTTTCAATACGTTGTAGTCTAATTATCCCCCTTATCATATGGGTTTTGGGATTTAAAATTCCTACATATTACCACTACTAATATATAAATAAATAATTATAAGAGGAAATTACAAACAAAAAAAGAAAAAAGCAAGCAAGCAAACAAACAAACAAACCAGCCTCAATGTTTAACCCTTAACCTTTGTAACAAATTAAGTCACGAGTTTTTAATTTTAACAAGCTAAATCCTAATCTTTTGATTTAGGGCAAATTACATATACCTCCCTCGAGATTTAGCTAAATTACAGACACCTCCTTGAGATTTCAAAAATTACAGATACCCCCTGAGGTTTATATTTTTATAACAAATTGTCCCCTAAGGTTTATATTTTTATAACAATTTGTCCTCTAATTTGTTATGCAAATAGTACCTTCAGGGGGTATCTATAATTTTGCTAAACCTCGAGGGGGTATATGTAATTTGCCCATTGATTTATTTTCAATCTAAATATTTGCATATTTTGTTAGATAAAACCAACATAAAAAAGAGTATTTTAGTGATTAAATTCAATGTAAGTGTACATAAAATGAGTCTACATTGACAAAATTAAAAACTTTATTTTTATTTTATTTTTAGGGTCGAATCCCGAATTCCTTTAAAATTACCCCTAATTATAATAATAAAAAAAATTATATCACGGCTGGCTAATTTCATATTCATAAATAATTAGACAAAGGAAAATCCTATACAAAGTAACATTATCAACTTTTCTAACTAAATGACATTACCGTACAATAAAGAAATTTTAGAATTTGAAACAGAATGCACCTTAATAATGTGATTTGTGCCATATTAGTAAGTAAAAAAATTTTACAATTTTTTTAATTTGTATAGTATTAAATCTAATCCCATCTCTTACCAAGGTGGTGTCAACCGTAATGTTGCTTTGTTTCAAAATATAATGATAATTTTCACTCACTTGGGCTTTTATTTGCTTGCAGAGTATAGCTAGCTCTATAGAAAAACACCAACATGGACTAATTAGATGAACCATCAAGAAGTAATGTTGATTCTATAGAAAAACACTAACATGGACTAATTAGACGGACCGCCCCTCCCTTGAGGTTTTTAACAAATACACAAATCTTAGTGTAATTTTAGAATTAAAGGAAAGGTCCACGTATTTATCAATTGAGATGATTCCATTCTTAGGGTACTGTCAGATTAATTTAATAATGGACCATATATTTATTTTACACAAAAATTTATAACTCACTCTGTACTTACTTTCTTTCTTTTTTTTCCTTTCAAATGTTACCGTTAAAGTTATAGGGAATTTCATTAATTTCTAGAGACATCAAGAGTGTGTATCATATCCATCTTATTACAAATTGGCACAATTTTATCACAAAATTTTATAATATTAATTACAAAATGTGTAATCTTGTCACAAATTGGTGTTAAAAAAAATATCGTAACCAAGCCACAAACTTTTATTATATGAATCACAAAATTCTGAACATTTTATTATGCTAATTTATGGTTGATGTTACAAAGTTTTCTAATAAAATTATGTCAATTTATAGTACGATGCATTTTATTATGCTAATTTATGGTTGATGTTACAAAATATGTACCATAGAATTTCCCTAATTTCCATATCTATATATTAACTTTTTAAAAAATTTCTTTTATAATGAGTAGTTAATGTTGAATCATAAGTGTTCACATCATTGAAGGCGACACAAGAAATCGTCCATGGTATTGACATGACCATGCCATAAAGTCATTCAAATCATCCATTTGTGTGGCGCTCATGTGGAATTTATACAAATGAATAATTTGAATGGCTTTGAGACAATGTCAAATATATATATATATATATTTTTTGAAAAGTCATAGCAAACTACCTTCCATATAATTGAAGTCGTTGGACGTAATTGATTAAATGATCATTCTCAGTGTTAATCGCGTTTTTATATTTTTCATACCTTTTCATATTCCTCTTGGAGGTCTTAATCTATACATGCATCGATAATTCAAACCATCTATTTTGTACATCTCACAGTAAATATTGTTTATGTAAAGTATTAATTTTATCAAACAGTTATAACATAAATAAATCATATTTTTATTATATAAAATGAATAATTTAAATTTACAATCATATTTATCGTTCATTTATATAACAAAATGTGATTTATTTCTATATTTATAGTTGTTTGATGAAGTTAATTTTTTGCATATATGACTTTTATTGTGTGACCTACAAAATAGACCGTTCAGATTATTGATACGAATTTGAATTGAGACCTACAAAAAAATATATATAAAAAGGTATAAAAAAAAAATTAAAGTATAGAGGAAAGCTCATTTCTACTCTCAAGCCGCGTCTGACTTTGACCTCCTTATCATACACTAGTCTACAAAATTATTATTCCGACAATGCTACGTAGCTCAAATTTTGTGGCTCACAAAATTTGAGCTACGAGACATTTTCCTTATTATTCATATGTAATACCATGTGGATTTGGGTATCAAAATTTCCTTCATATTATTACTGATAGTTACAATTTACAACCGCAAGAAAAGAAAAGAAAAAAACCCATAATATCATAATATGGCTAGTTCGTTTGGCCATAATACTTCATTAGACATTCAGTTGTTTGAATCTTTCTATCTATGTTTGGATCAATTATATGTTGTATTTAATTTTTATTATTATGATTTTAAATTCATTAGTTTCACTGTAATATCATATATAAATTAAAAAATTAAAATAAAAGCTTTATTCAACATTGTAAAATAGGGTTAAATTTAAATAATTGCAATCCACTATTTATATCATTCAACAAACTACTAACCTACAATAGCTAGAAAGTGATCAACAAATCGACCAAGCCCAATAACCACTAATAATCACATACAATCAACCAACACAAAGGATATCAAACTTTTCTTTATAAAAGTTGAATCCAAAATCTCACACCACAAAAACTACTATACAATTACTGGACCAAATGCCGTGGTGAAATGTTGTTGTAATAGTGCATCTCAAAAATGTAATTATATTGCATACTCACTTTCATAACATCATGCATTTAGTAATGAAGACTTGGAATTAAGAATTGGAATTAATTTGAAATGAAGACTTGGAATTTGAAATGAAGACTTGGAATTAAGACTTGGAATTTCAACTTCATATCTCAAAATTTGAAATGAAGACTTGGAATTAATTTGTATGATTTGAGAGGACCTTGACTTGGGGTCAACAATAAATATCCCATGATTTTATAAATCTTGAAATTTGCATAAATAAAATTCAAATTGAGTATATTTATTACCGTCAATTTTTTGCTTAAATTTCACTCTCATCATTCTTATTGCAATTTGTCTTAATTTCAAACGAATTTTATTATGAAGTTGAAATATAATATAACTTTATTTATATATATATTTTTTATATAAACTTGGAATTTTAAAAATTTTATAATAGCAATTCAGGGATCAAAGTGAACCTAGAAAGCAAAATTGAGAGACTTGAAAAGTGAAAAGTATTACAAAATGTAAGAGCTAAAAACATCAAAATGAAACACTATCACTCCTAAATGTCAAAATTATGATTTGATGAAGTTATTTCAACTAAACGTCTTATATGCTTTTTATTTTTTATTTTTTTATGTGCAAAATAATAATAATAATAAAATTAAAAGGGTTAATTACATTTTTAATCTCTATATTTTGACTCAAATTTTACTTTGGTCCTTATAATTTCAAATTGAACAATTTTTTCCATACACTTTAAATTCAGTTTCAATTTGGTCTTTCCGTCTAAAATTTTGTTAATTTTTCTTACATATATACCTTTTTTTCATATAGTAAAAAAAAAAAAAATCTTACATATATACCTTAGAAGACTAACAAATGTCTCAAAATCATTAAGTTTAACCTCCAACTTAAATAGGAGAGGACCAAATTAAAACTAAATTTAAAGTGTAGGGACGAAACTATTTAATTTGAAGCTATTGGGACCAAAATGAAATTTGAATCAAACTATAAAGGTGAAAAATGTAATTAATCCAAATAAAAAATATTTGGAAAAATTATATATATATATATAAACCATAGTTTGACCATTTTGTAACAAAATAAATTATGAATTTTTGATTATATACTTATATAACATTTGATGGAATGACCTCAATTTCCACCAATTTAATTCCCCTACTTAGTTCATTATAATAGAACAATAACAAATTTACAGTTTTTTTTTTGGGTATGATTTGTTGGTGATAAGATATAATCTTGCAATGACTTTATCTTAATTATAAAGAGTTTATTCCAATGGAAAATTTTCAGGTTCAAATGCCTCTGAGTGTTATTTACACTAAAACCCTTTAAACTATTGAGAACTATCATTTTAATTCTCTAAACTATAAAAGCATAGAAATAGATCTCTTTAATTATTGAGAATTATCACTTTACCCTCTAAACTATAAAAGCGTGCAAATGTTTTTAAATTATAAAAATATACAAATTGGACCATTAATACAAGCGATCAAAGTGAAACACACCAATAGTTTAGAAGGTCTATTTGTACGTTTTATAATTTAGCTAGGCAAAATGATATTTCTTAATAATTTAGGGAGTCTATTTTTATGCTTTTAAAATTTAAAAGGCCAAAGTAATACTTTTCAATAGTTTAG